CTTTCACAATATGAACAGGATGTAGATGGGGCTTTTGAGTAGGGTGTAGCGTATTCAAAACAAAAGTTGGCCTTCCACAGAACACATATAATATGCGGTAGCATTGCCGGTAAGAAATGGCAATATGTCCACAATCTCAGAAGGGTATCGCAGTATGTTTCGAAACAGGCCAGGCTCTGTGCTGTTGTATGCTACGCCACAATGCACACTCCCTAGCGTCCGTCCCTTATCTGTCAAAATTCACCCACCTCCATGCACCTGCTGCCCTCCAATGATAATAGAGGCTTGCCAATCTAGGTGTCTCCCATTTGCTTTTGGGCTTATTCCTTTTGTTGTATCCTGCGTTTGGCGGCCGCCCCCTCCCTTTCAGAAACGTGGGACTCCAGCTTCCGAAGGATTGACTGGTAGCGAAGCAGTGATACTAATAGGACGCGAGTGCTGAAAAGAAAAGAAAAGAGCGAAAGCAAACGCAGGAGACAATCCGGGTACAGGCAGGATAGAAATAGGTACTACTATATGTTAGTATGCTACAAATCAATAGGACAGCAGCCCGACTAACTGCAAATAACAAATATTTGCAAGAGGGCGCAACTTTAAGATATTAAGAGAGGGATGATGCGATCTGCTTGCGAGGGTGAGGTATCCAGAATGCGGTGGGGGATATAGAATGGGCCTGGGCGCTTCTGTCAGCCTCTCACTAGGATCCGCAGCTCGACACCCATAGGAACGAGCGGATGTAGGTGTCGGTGTGTGAAAAAAATTTGGGCAAAATGACAAAGCATGGAGGTAAATACCACAAGGCGGCGGGAAGATAAAATATAAATTGCGATAGACGAGGAAAGTATAAAAGGGGGTAACGGTGAATGGGGTAAAAATAAAAGTCTCTCTCGAGAATGAAAAGCAAAGCAGAGAAGAGCAGCGCAAGCTAATAATAAAAAAAAGAAAGAATACATACATAGAAAGGAAAAAGTAAAGAAACCAGAGAAAAAGCAACTTGAAAATAAACGAATTTAAGGTAAGACCACAAGATAGTTTGTTAATTCGCAGGCTGCTTGATTGGAAAGTTCCGTAAAACAGCCGCTGGTAGGATAATGCTTCGGAGTCAGGTAGCCTCCTTCGATTCCAGTGGGGAGTTGCTTGATCGATTGCGTTTGTGGAGATCACAGACAGACGCATAGAGGAAATGCTGTTGAAATGTGACGAAACGGCGGACTATCGCGGTAAGACCAAACGCAGCCAATGGCTTATTCCGAATCGGGGTGAATGCATATGTGACCGGTCATGAAAGGTGGACGAAGAAGAGGGTATTTGGAGACGGGATATCTGTCGAGATAGTTCGAAGATCGGACAGGTAGTCAGGGAGGATATCGAATACTTTTCGAAATACTCCGTATTCCTGAATGTTTATTGGTCATGAAGATCATTCGTGATTGAATGACTTGAGGAGCGGTAAAGAGGGCGAGACCAGAGCTCGAGCCATGAGAAGACCGAAAAAGGAGGAAGGTAAAGAGTGCGTGAGAAGAGAAAAGAAACTATCCGAGCGGTCTCCCCTTGCGAGGGAAGAAACCCTGACCTTGCGCCTTGCAGTTCCCCCACCTTAACCCTTGTACTATAAATATTATCAGTATCACCTAGAGGTTGTATTCGCAGGATTGGCTCGATGTTGTTCATTTTCGCAATCCCTAGCAAAGGTAAAAGCGGAGGCACATCATGTGTGATGGCCTGGGGAGGGAACGGTTTGGTCTAGAATTCTCCCATCCAAGAAGGTTATTTTTGGAGAAGAACAAAGCAAAACTAATTGCTCCACATTTAGTTTGTTCTCAAAAGAATTCACGTCTTCGGGTTAGAAGGCTCCGTCATATTTCCCACTGCATACAGTTGGCTTTTTCCCCTTCATTTCCCAGATTTGTCCGAGTGCTCTGAGATACCTGGGCTTAACGAAGCCGCCCTCTTCTCACTAAGCCAACAGACTAAAGTTAGCTCCACCATCGGTGCCAGGATGGCTAGCGATGGATAAAAAAAAGGTATCGGCAACTAACTAGCTAGCCTGGCGTGTACTCCAGATGCTGTACATAAACAATCAGATGGCAGTTCGCCAAGATTGACCAACAGCAATTTTCTTTTTCCTCTTCTCGTTTGTGGTGTTTTCTTTCCTTTCTTTTTTCATCTAGTTGACTGTCACCGTTCTGTTGGACCAGGGGGGGAAGAGGGGAAGAGAGTTTGTGCCTTTTCAGTGGACTGATTTAAAGGCCATCTGCAACTCCCGGCCGATCCGGATAAGACGCACCTTTGACATCGTCGTCAAATTCACTATCACTTTTTTTTTTTTAGCTTACGCCACAGCGCTCTGAACTCTTGGTTCGCTTTTTTTACGACAAGATGTGTATGCAAGTCTTATGTGGACAGCCAGCGCCATTTTAGTTCAAACTACAGGCATCCTGTGTCAACTTGACGTTTCTTTCGTGTTCGTTTTATATTCGCTGTTTTTGCTGTAAGCCGCCAACAGAGATACCTTGCACCGTATGATATCATGCAGGCAACGACGAGGTGAGATTGATGTCGTTGAAGCTGGTGAAGCCATGAAGTTGAAGGTCGACGTTGAAGTTGACGTTGAAGTTGACGTTGGCGGCTGGAGGTGACCGATTACCCTTTTGGGCTCGGGCCGAGAAACCTTCCAGCGAGGCGGATTAAATAATCAAAACCAAACTCTCTACAAACAACAAACAACAACAACAGACAAAAAGGACAGCAGACGGCAGAGGATGCAAGATACTACAATGATCAGCTAGGACTAGAAGATAAGCGGGTGGGTGATGAGTTACCGAGTCCTATAACCCCCGACCAGCTATTATAATGGGACATGCTTGAGGTTGGGATGCAAGTTGACCCCTGGTGCATACATACGAGCCCTTTCCCCCGCCCATCGTTAGTCTACAGCCAGGGTCCGTTATCGACATGATATATATTGTACATATATTGTAACTAACATATAGCTTCGTTCGATCACTAACTAGTTACGAATGCTTGATGTGCCGGGCTCGCATCAGCGAAGGCGGTTCCCCTGTTGACACCTCCACCTGGCCACCTGGCCGGTCCTTGGTGGAACAACCTTCTATAACCCTAGCGAAAATTTGGAATACTACATACTTAAACCTCTGGGATACTCGCAGAATGCATAACTACCTGCTTCTACCTCAGATGTGTCATGTACCCGCCCCCATGCCGGTTGGCCTATCTATACCCAAGCAAGCAACCGGACCAAACAATTGTGTACCGCCCAACACCAAGCCCACTTCCAAGCCTGTGCTGCAAAGCACTAGTTCTTTGCTGATACCAGGTAGCCCCCTTGCACAGTCTGGTCTAGTCTATTGAAATCGGAAAGATAGTGCATTGCAGACAGCTATAGCCGGTCATCTGGTTGGTTGGTCTTATTGGCGAATTCCCGTCATTCCGGATCGTTGGTATTGGCCGGATTGGTCATGATTGCCGCAGCACAGCTCTGAACTTTATGGGGCTTTGCCTTGGTTGTACGTGCCTGTCAGCCCCAGGCGGACGGACGCGTGATGGTGGAGGCCTAGGGAAGCTTCGCAAGCCATCAGGAAAACAAAACAAAAAACGCTCAAAAAGCAAATTAGCTAACTATAACCATGGAGCAAAGATACACGCTTTACTTTCTTTTTCCGTTGTTCCTGGCTTAACTCTGCTCTTCGTCGCTTGCTTGGTCCGCAACCCTTCTAATCGGTACCCTAGCCCACCAGAGAAATTGATAGGGCACGGCATCTGTGGACCAGGGTATCGGCTTTAGCCTACCCAAAATCCTGGGCGAGCGGGAGTTAGCCGTGCCGGTGCCGTTTGGATACCTGTTCTAGCCCATAGCGGACAGACATGCTTTTTGTGAACAACGAGAAGAGACCGATTGAGACAGGACTAAGATAAAGGATGATCGAGTGAACTTGAATCCGAGGTACAGCCGAGTCTACATACCCGAAGTAAAAAGGAGAAGATAGGCGGAATAGCTTTGCGTTTCTTCAGCTTGCAATATCCTGGCAGCAGGATACATTCAAAGAGTTAACTCTACTTCTACCTACTCCTACATGTTCTCGTGTATATGGGGGGAAGAAAGATGCCACCCTCCCTTAGCAACTGCCTTTCTCCGCTTTACACCCTTACCTACACGACAGGGTGGCCTTTCCACTAAACTATGCGTGACAACCACTAGGATGCCATGGATACCCATATCACTGCCGCGTACATGTACGTACGATCGTACCTGCAACAACGCACGTATCCATGTACATGTACTGCGCCTACATCTTGAAGGAAATAACAATCGAGACCACAAGCAACGCCCGGCAGCTGTTACCACTTACATACAAACATATGTACATTTGGCCAATCCATCTCCGCCTCCTCCGTTTCACCCCCTCTTCCCTGCGTCCCGTCTCCGGGAAGACGTAGAGGACATGATACACAGGATAGAGGTGATATTTCATGACACCCTTCATGCCCCAAGTACTCCATCTTGCTCCTGGACCCCCCTGGCCCACGCCCATCCATTATCCTAAAGAAGATAATTACATCCGTGGTCAAGAATGTGCATCGGCCGCTCGCGCTGATCACCAGGACTAGAGAACCTTCGCCAGTATGTAAATTATTATTATTTAGCGATGCACAGCATATATACATACGCACATAACTACATTTCCCCATAGCATGCATACGTCAAGTACAAAGTCGCTTTGTCTAGTTAGTTTGGCCTATTCCGCGTGGGTGTGTGCATTCCTTCGAGCAGCAGCCATTCAGAGGCCACACAGAGCAACTCTTCTCGCCAGCTTGATTGACTGGTCCAGCTAGCATTGCCATCCAGGCGAGCAGCCAACGCCCTCTTCGTATCCCACCCACCGCCCAAAACAGCCGACTGCTTCTCATAATATCCAGCACGCCGGCACGCTGCATTGTGCCGTACCACCGCCGCTTTGGTCGCTTCTGACGTGAAGCTGTCATGCGAAAGGAGAAAAGCTGAAGGATGGCGACATCGTGTTCCTCTCCGTCTTCTCCTCCCTTTCGCCCTTCGTGTCCGTCTCCCTCTCTTCCCTTTCTCCCATCCTAGTTGTCTTTTCATCTTCCTCGTCTGCTTCAATTCTTCTTCTCAAGGGAAATGCTGAATAAGCATGATGAGTAAGCATGATGAGTAAGTCTGATGAATAATCATTTAGTCATCAAATTCGGCAGGAACAACTATTATCCCTTATCATGTGATATTTGATATTTGTCATCTCTTTCCTTACATAAGCAATACCTTGATGTCCCAAAGAGGAAATTTTATTTACATGAAAAAGTCGAAAAAAACTCCCGAATTTCATCGTTGAAATCGATTTTGACGATTTTCTTCTCTTCCAGAGCGTTTTTCATGCGAAAAAAAGTCGATCGGTGGTGTTAAGTGCTGCTGCTGCTGCTGCTGCTGTTGTTGTTGCTGATGGTGGCGATGCCCCGGCGGCCCAGGCACAAGATTTTACAGTTGGAACCGCCCCCCGAGGCCGTCAGCCGGACCCGCGATCTCAAGGGATTTAGACGCAAGCCCCGAGACAAAGCAAGGATGCCACAACCACGATGGCCGGTGCTGGCGTACGAACGGATCGCTGGCCCCAAAGTCGATCTATCACGCTGCCATAGAGGGCCGCGCCCGGCACAACGTGATGCGATGGTTAACGTGAGCGAGTCCGGCCTTGTCCTTGCCTGTCCGCCGTGGCTGATCTGCTGAGGGCATCACGACCCAATCCTGCGGCCGCCGCGGGCAAGACGCCCTGCAAGAAACATACTTATAGCCTGCTACTCCGTATTCAGTGCTTTTGACGACAAGACGGCTGCTTCTGGGCTTCGCTGAAAAGCAAGGAGAACAGATCGATATAAGGACGAGCGGCGATATCTAGTCAACTATCGATAAAGGATGGGTAAATGTGGCCCGTCGCATTGCGCTTGGCCCGCGCTGGCAGCGTTGATACTCGGCCTGGGAATAGGAAACATCTCGGCTGCGTCGGTTTACATCGCTGCAGAGCAGTGTCTTGCTCCAGCACCCTCTGCTACTGTGCCGGACTATGTCATGAAATATGGTAGGATTTTTTTTCTTTAGATCCCCTTTTTCGTCCGATGTTTTGCCCCATTTGATGCTGTCTGGCTGACGAAAGGATAGCTCCGTTGATATGGATACACTCGCAAGATCCATACCAGCCGTCTGATATCGGAGCACAGCTGAAGAACTCGATTCCCATGATAAATCATGTTGCCATTCCCAATGTTCCGACAGACATTACACTCAACAATCTTGACCAGCTCAACAAGCTGGGCGGGAACAAGGTGTGTCTCACGTCGAAAGAGGGCATCCAGGCTCTGCCAGCCTGGTTCAGAGGCGTCAAGCCGAACAAGGACGGCAAAACCGAGGGAGCGGTTTCGTCTGCAATCGTTGTTCGGGAACACGGAGACGAAGGCAAGACCGTTGATGCATTTTATTTCTACTTTTATGCGTAAGCAACGGTCATACTACTATTAACTGCATACCAGTGGACCTGCGAAGTCAAAAGCCGGTGCTGACAGGGAACGGGTAAAAACAGGTACAACCAGGGCAACACGGTGCTGGGCATCGAGTTCGGCGATCATGTTGGTGACTGGTACGTATCTGTGTATGAACATACGCTGTAGACTGTTAATTAATAACGACGGGTAGGGAACACAATATGATCCGCTTCCGCGACGGCAAGCCGGAGGCCATTTGGTACAGCCAGCACGCTGCTGGCCAGGCATTCCAGTACAGCGCAACGGACAAGCGCGGAGTGAGGCCAATTGGCTTCAGCGGTAACGGTACCCACGCCGTCTACGCCACTGCCGGGTAACTCTTACCTATCCTCCCACCATCACAAGCCTTCTTGTCCAGCAGAAAACCATGTGTGCTAACCTTGGTAGAACCCATGACCACACAATTCCTGGGTTAGACCTACCCGCCGGGTTCCTCGAGGACGAGACGGACGAAGGCACGCTATGGGATCCCACCCTGAGTGCATATGTCTACTCCTACTCCTCGACAACCGGCCTGTTCACTCCCTATGATCCCAGCACGCCTACCAACTGGCTATACTACCAGGGCCACTGGGGCGACGAGCAGCTGCCGGACGATGCTCCTGGCCAGATCGAGCTGTTTGGCCAGCGCAAATACTCGACGGGACCCGATGGCCCAATGTTCAAGGAGCTCGTGAGGGAGAAGGTATGTCCGAGCGGCGTGAAGCTGTGCCTCGTCCTGCCGTGGGTGACTGCTGTAAAGGAAGAGAAGAGGAAGCAGATGCTGGCCGATCTTGTCAAAGAGGAGCTCGAGCGCGAGAGCAAGAAGCACTCCAAGCCTCTCGAATGATTCTTTTTCTCGTTTTGCTTCCCTGTTGTTCATGTTCATGCTGTGACGTTGATATTAATGTTTCCTATACCCCTTCTCAATGTGCTGCCAACGTTTTTGTCTTCTGTTTAACCTGCAGCTTGCAACCTGCAACCTTCAACCGTCAACATTCAACCTTCAACACTCCTTCCAAGCATTATTCTCTTCACAAGACCCATGCTTCTCCGGAACAGCGTGGCCGGAGATGCCCCTGAGCTGTCACTGTTAGTGCGTTTCAGGTCGTGCCGGGATCGAAGCTAAAGAGGAGATGGCAACTCTCACGGGCACACAGCAGCCTGGACGAATCAGTGCTCGCGGACAGAGCTGCGGAGCCTCTCTCCAGCTGTCTTCTGGCGTTTCCTGCCGCCTGGTTGGCCTGCCGATGGTTGTCTCGAACTCCATGAGCCGTGGCTGCGAGCGCGTGTTGATATCCTACGTTTTGTCTTACCCCTGAACGAGCCCCCGTTTTTTTTGGCTACTCCAAACGCCCACACCACCGCGATAGAGCAAAGTAATAACAGCGTAAATATAATAATATAATTAATAGAGAACGATAAACCAGGTGTCTTTCCAGAATAGACGACGGCGGCAACGAAGATGAAATAACATGTAATCGCCCAGTGGATGTCGCCTCCTTCGTAATTAGTATTATTATCAACATCCCAAACTGCGCAAAAAGGGCACTAAGACGGCCTCTAGCGGGTTCGCCTTGGAGCCCCCTTCATCTCGCCCCTGGACTTTTCTTCTTCTTCTTCTTCTTCTTCTTCTTCCTCTTCTTCTTCGTTGTCTTCGTCCTCGCCGTCCTCTCGTTTTTCCTTTCTTCTCTTCTCTCCTTCGCTGCACCTCTGCCGGCCGGATCTTTTTGTCACTCGCTGTGTCGTCAATTGACCTTGACGGGGGCTGGAAGAACTAACTACGCATATACAAAACAGCCACAGCTTCAGCGCCTTCGCCAGGACGGCGAGTCTGGGCCTCCTGCTTCCTTCGAGCCGACTGCAAGTGTGCATTCATTGCATCGCGCGACCCATCGCAGCGGCCTGTCAGTGCCTGGCTGTCCGACGCTGGCTTGCGTGTGGCCGTTGGCATCTACATAAGACAGGACACTCTTCCAGAGAAACGGCGGACTCAACGAGGATTAGCAGCTGGGACTCCTTGGATACAGCAGTGGTACGCCTGGCCGAGCTGAATTGAACAGCCTGCTGCCTCTCCCGGTGACGCTGTTGATACTGACTTGGCCGTTTGGATGTAGTAGATACCACGGGCATCACACAGTGCAACCGCCGACCAGGACGCCGGAGCCCGAATAACGCAGGAGATCTGATATACTACTGAAGGGCGAGATCAAGGAACAAAGGCCAGCTGTATAAATAGGAGAGACACCATGCAGGCCTCTCTTCCCTCGCGGCCGCGCACTCCCAGCGACTCCAACGGCATCACCACCACCACCACCAACACCACCACCACCACCGCCAACGCCAACGCCAACAGGTCAGCCGCGGGACCCCGACGGCCCTCGCTCGGCTTCCTGCGCCGCTCCAAGTCGACCGAGCACGTCACGGAGCGCAAGTCGTCCAACAAGATCAGCAAGAAAATGCTGCGCGAGCAGGCCAGGGAGGAAGAAGCGCGCCGCCAGCGAGAAGCCGCCGCTGTGTCGAAGCATGCGCCGCGCCTGCCGGCCCTCTCGCCGACGCCGCAGCTGAACTCCTTCGGCGGCGAGCGGGCGGCCTCCTCGTACCAGAATCTCCAGCATCTCCAGCATCTCCAGCAGCCGCAGGCCATGTCGACGAGCCAGCTGAGATCCGTGATGGACGCCCCGCCGGTTCCCCCGTTGCCGCCAGGCGCCAGAGCCGCCTTGTCGAGGGACCCATACGCTGCTTCGGACAGCATGGCGCACCGTGGACGGTACAGCTATGCCAGCAGCGCCGTGAGCACGATCAACAGCCCCAGGCGGGTCAGGAGACGAAAGGACCCTACTCCATACAAGTGAGCATAAGCCGGTCATTTGTTTCTTTTTTGTTTCTTTGCTTTTTTGTTTCTGGTCAAGGCTAATATAATATATCTATTCAAGTATCCTTGTGGTTGGAGGGAAGAACTGCGGCAAGACCTCGTTCCTCGAGTTCCTGCGCACCTCGCTGGCCCTGCCACCGAGCAAGCGGCCGACGAAGCCGGTGGAGGAAGACGAGCCTCGCCCGCAGTCGCCCGGGACGCCGTTCACCTCCCACTATCTCGAGTCCGAGATCGACAATGAAGGCATAGGGCTGACGCTGTGGGACTCGGAGGGCCTGCAGAAGAACATCGTCGACCTGCAGCTGCGTGAGATCACCGGCTTCTTGGAGAGCAAGTTCGAAGACACCTTTGCCGAGGAGATGAAGGTCGTTCGTGCACCCGGTGTCCGTGATACCCACATCCACTGCGCCTTTCTCATCCTCGACCCGGTCAGGCTTGATGCAAACATCGAGGCTGCGAAGAAGGCCATCACTCGAGGCCAGGCAAAGGAGGCCAGCCAGTACATCGGCGGACTCGACGTCGAGCTGGACATACAGGTTATCCGCACGATGCAGAGTATGACCACCGTCATCCCCATTATCAGCAAGGCCGACACCATTACGTCTGCCCACATGGCATTCCTGAAGAAGACGGTCAGAAACAGCTTGAAGCAGGCCGGTATCAACCCCTTGGAGGTGCTAGCGCTGGACGAGCAAGAAGACTCCGCCTCCGAGGAGTTTGACGAGCACGACGAGGATGAATTGCTGAAACAGATGGAAGATCCGGATGCTGATAACGGCGGCAAGGAAGACGCTGCTGGGGCCGCTGGTGACAACAATGCAGAGGAAGCACAGAAACAGAAGCCTGCCCGCGCAGCAGCTAAGGAGCCAGAAGAAGAATCGGCCGCCGACCAGATCTTCCCTCTCTCCATCCTCTCCCCGGACCCTCACTCGCTGAACAACAAGAACGAAAAGGTCGGCCGTCGTTTCCCCTGGGGTTTCGCTGACCCGTACAACCCAGAGCACTGCGACTTTGTCAAGCTGAAGGATAACGTCTTCAGCGAGTGGCGAGGAGACCTGCGTGAAGCCAGCCGTGAAGTCTGGTATGAGAGATGGAGGACCACCCGTCTCAACCGAACAGCCAGAAAGCGTCCCCAGCAGCGCCAGCTGCATCCCTATCCCAACAGCGGACGAATGACGAGGTGACCCCCTTGTTCAACGCATTAACTGTGTCACACCAAGTACTACTCTTGATTCCCTTTTGTTCTTTTTCTGATTCTTGATTCCCACCCCCCCCCCCCCCTTTTTTTTTCCCCCGACCTTTTCTCTTAGACATGCAGAGCATTGCATCGCCGGTGTCAACGAGTCTACCATTCACTGTATATACTACTCTTAATATCACTACCGGAGTCTCGCTTCTTAACTAAAAAAAGTAGGCCCGTCTCTTTCTTTCCCTAGAGAATTTTACAACATAATCCCCCATTACTGGGACCCTGTTAATTAATTTGCTGTCCATCGGGCTTGACTCGCAAGTGTAAATAGTCCTGAAGTATTATCAGGCATATTGCTCTTAATTTAGCACCTATATAAATGCTTTTATACGTTAATTAGTTGATTAACGGAATCGGTAGCCGGTATTATTAGTTAATGGTTATAATAATACGTTATAGATTCCACCCCAGGGCCCTAGGTGTGGACGCTGGGAGGTTACCTTTGCTAACAATATGAAGCTCTGCAATTACTATTTCTCAACCAGTTACCAATGCAAGGTGTTGCTGTCTTGTGACAGTTCGAAGATATCCGGCTTGTATCTAGTTACTCCATATATCTCGTCTAGTTGGCTCCACCGTAAGAATGCCAATAATCTAGTTATAGGTGCATGGCTGTTGACTAGTAACGGCTCCGCTGGTTATATATCAGACATCCGGGAATCTGCAAGGAATTAGTTACAGCAAAAAGGTTCGGAGACTCCGGAAATGCCGCTTTGAGCTTTCTATCAGCTTCATTGGAAAGTTGTGTTTCCGCTTCCAAGGACCATCACCAGGCGCTGAGGTTACTCATCCCCCGACGAGAAGGCTTCATACTCCGCTCGGATATTTTTAATTTACGATTGCTCGACTGCCCGTTCGTTAGCTCCGTTGTATCCTTTTGTGAGCCTAATCGCCGGTTCACGCATCATTCAAGGGACTCACTTCTCTCAAGCACTTGCCAGTTGACAGGCTTATTCGCAGCTTCATGTGCGGGTATCCTGCTGGAGCCATCTTGCAATGTCGCATCGACTTTCAAGATTCTGGACCAAGAACTGGAAAAATCGCCTCTCTTTCTCCTGGCTTATGGAGGCAGAGAGGCCAGCACGGACGATAGCCATAGTGGAGGGCGGCAAGAGTCCGGAAACGGGACGAAACTTATACATGGCTGCAAAAGCATTGAATGTATCGGTGGTCGTCCTTGATAAGCCGGGACACTGGCTTGAAGGCCCCGAATACGCAGATTGGCGAGCAGCTTTCCTCCCTGTTGATAGAAGCCCCAACGCCAGGTTACCGGATAGGATTGTCGAAGCACTAGAAAAATATAGCAGAGAAAAGGGAGCTTTGAAGATTGACGGACTGGTGACGTTTTTCGATCCACTGTTCGTCGGAGTCGCGGCGGCTGCGAAGAAGCTTGGATTGACCACACCGAGTCCAGAAGCATATGCAATTGCGACTGATAAATTCAAGACAAGCATCGCGGAAGGACGCCCTGCCTACCGTGCTTCAAGCCCTGACGAAGTAGCAAAAAATAATTCAAGATACGACCCTGAATTATCCACTCATAGTCAAGCCCTGCAGCGGCTGGGGCTCCGAGGGCGTCTTCCGTGTCGATAACGTGGCTGAGCTCGAGGAAACAGTCCACAAAATTGACTATGATAGACATGGCAACGATGTTGTTATTGAAGAATATTGCAACGCCAGAAGCATGGCTGATCGAGATCAACCCTCGGCCGCTAGGTGTGTAGGCTCTGTTGGCGTCTGCGCATGTCTACGGGGTAGACTACATCGGGGTATCTCTTTGCTTTGCACTTCAGGACAAGGCGGCAGCTGCCAACCTCGCGGTCCCATTCGGACATGGGAAAGTAGGCAACGGGGCACAGTACTGGAGTGCGATTGTGTTCATCCCGGTGGTAAAGGGAGGCGTCTTTGGGTCTGACGATGTGTGTGCTGAGCTCCGAAAGTGACGTCCGGACTTGACGAGACACGTCTCAAGGAGCCACTGTTTCTTCCAGAAGGGAGACACGGTCAAGGATCCCAGCTCGGGGCTGCTTAACTGGATCGCATACTATCTGGTCTTTTCGCATGAGAGTCGCGCGCATGTTCTGAGGCTGGCAGAAGACATCCGGACAGAGACCAGGTTCGAAGTCATCCAGGCATGAGTCCCGCAGGCTGAATAAACTTAGTACGAATTTATCTCTCTTGGGTCAAAGCAATCATATCATTTGGATCTCCTTTCCTCCAGTTTCAACTAGTGTCATGTTTGCCCCTCTACTCACCATACAAGAACCGGCCTGTGCCTACTTTCACAGGCCTCTTCCCATGCTGCAGGGTCTTGTGCACAAGGTCAATAAGGTAAAGATCCGTACCTAACGCCACGTGTTATATTAGTATACATGTAGATCTGCCAGCAAGATCAGTGTCCTTTTTACACCAAGGAAACTCTCCATATCCTCAACGAAGATATCAATAAGGCGCATCCGTGCCTTGTTTGATGTGGGAAGATAATCCTTTGGATACAGAATCCTCGTCCAACCCTGTAAGACGGACAAGTCAGCAAATGATTTACTTCCGAGCAGGTAGTGGCGAGAACGCACAATTGACGTATTCGGTGATTTGATTAATCTATCTGACCTACCGTACCAAAGGTCGGCAAAATTTTTGAAGCGGGATATATCTCTACCAAAGAAGGCCGGAACATCGTATGTTCTGTCGGAAATTAGCAAGAAGATTTTTTGAGAGTGAGAAATGCTTAGATTTCTGTTGGGATTCAACTTACGGACAGAATGATGCCATTCCGTCTGTATTCAGGATCCCATGAGTCGGTCGAACTGCGAAGCACCCATTCCAGTAGGCAGGTTTCCGGCAGCTCCCATTTGCTAGTAAAAGGAAAAAATTAGAAAGAGTAAATATACTAAAGTGAGGATAAATCCATTCTGTGTCCGGATATAGAATGAATGCCTGCCTACCCCGCTACCACGGCTACGGTCTATCGTGGGCGGATAGAATCTACTAGTGGTGGTTTACGGTTTTATATAAATCAGTCACGTGATACATTTTGACGCCACTAGTTAGTTACATGTTGCGTCACCCCAAATGCCATCATCAAGTCGTCAATATCATCAACAAAGTATATCTACTTTTCAGCTCCAGAATCGTCTAATATCTTCTGGCCCCTAAAACATCTTACCGTACTCTTTATAGAGCTTCTGTTATAATTTTCTCCTTACTACTCTATCCTAATTGCTTGGACTCTTCTGTCAGTCGGTTTTTTCAATAAGATTGCCATGTCTCAATCGGCCGGCAAAACAACTGAGATACCCAGGATGTCCAAGTTAGTAGGACCAGGCCCAAAGGCCACCGATGCAAGGATTCCAGCGGAGTATTCCAGCGTATCATCAGGGGATTCTCATACCTCAGCCAGTTCTACCGATGCGTCCGCACTTTCTAGCAATGCCGGAGCCTCTTTCAACACTTCCAGCCCCCCCTCCAAGAACGCACCATCCGCCTCTAAAACCGAGTTAGAAATTCAGAACGAGCGGTTTCTCTGGGCCCAAGAGACCCTTAAGGAAATAAATAACTGTTCTTACGAAGAACTTGCTGCAAGAGTTAGGGAAAGTGGTGTTAAAAAAGGTATAGTTACCTTATACATCTTAAATTTTATTTCTACTAAATGGTAATAGTTACAGGCAAAAGCCTTCCATATGACACGGACGATGATATCAAGTACGAAGCTGCAGGAAAGGGTATATAATTATTCCTTCAGCCAATAGCGTCTCGTATTTTCTACTCTCTTTATCAGCCTAGTTGTTCAGGGCTCGAAGTTGAACTTCATGACTTTATTATAGGAGAAATAACTATCGATAAAGTGAGGGTAAGAGAGATCCTACAAAATACCGGAGTAGCAGAACTAGCTCCTCTTTGGAGAAATGGTACGGGGCTTTGTACATCATTCTCCATACAAGTCGCTTCATGTATCGACAATAGCGATTACCTATCCTCATTTATATTTGGGGAACTAGATGGCTACCGAGCATGTTTTAATACTGGTAGAATCATAATTGATTTATCTGCAAGGAAGGCTTTATTAATATAAGATGGAAAGCCAATCTCTACTAATAAGGGAATATAGAACTTAACGAAAGTAAATGATAACTTAGTTCTATTATTTCAGGTATGTCGATTCTTCTCAAACAAGTCCTTAGCTGATTAACTACCATAGTTACTAATTTGGTTAACTTAGTCCACTAAGAGTAAAGACTTTAAGAGCTTTAACCGTCTCGATGGTTATACCCAAGTAATTAACCACTGCATTCTTTAGCTCTGTAATCAAAAATCTTTCATATGCATGTTTCGGTACGTTAACTTATTTACTTATAACCTTATATACTTATTTCCAGCTAATCTTTAGGTTCTAGAAGGAAGCTAGATAATAAACTCCAATTCAATGGGAAAATTGTTTGGGAGCCTATAAAAAACCGTATTTGTTGGAGTGAATCCATCTACAACAAGGCCGCAGCTCGGCCCCAGTTCTACGAGTATTCCGTTCAATTTTCTAGTAGTGGTAACGATAAAACCACTCAAAGGTACATGGAATTGTTTCGAGTATTTTGCAACGATGAAAGCCGGGCTGGACAATATGCCCTCGTTGAGGCTTTTCTGTCAAGGATATGGACGACTAGCCTTCGTTATCTGGGGTATGGTGTTTGTTCACAGGGATGGGTATAAGTTCATAATCCCCATTACCCATATTTGGTAACAATTCCTATAGGGATCGCCCATCAACCCTTTAAATTACATTCGAAAATTCATTCTGTACCCCCGATACAGAATGGTCCCAATCCAAATCTCCTGTTCCCCGATAGTCAGATTCTCTAAATATTTAAACTTGCTAATAATGATCAAGAGCAAGCTAGCCCCTTTGTACCTTGCCATTATATCTCTTTTATATTACCACTAGTGAGGAGCACTCGCTACGCTTGCTAATTAGCTGATATATTATATTAATAAGTAATTAGTAATAAAATATATACTAAAAATTTTTACCTTGCTTAATTATATATATATTTATAAATAAACCTCTATTTAAATTTACTAATTTAATAAATATCTATATTTATATCTATATTTATATTTATATCTATATATTTACTTACTTATAGCTTCTTTTATCCATATAGCCTATAAAATAAGTACTAATAATAATAGTAGCAATTTTAACTCTAGTAATCTCCATAATTAAATATTAAATAAGATATTATAATTTATTTTTAAAATATAAAAACTTTATAAGAGTAAAAATAGTTTAAAATTAATAAAATTAAAATTATAATTTTTTAAAAAAAATAATAAATATTGTTAATATATTTATAACTATTAAATATATTAAATAATTTAAATTTTATAAATATATTAAAATTATAAATTTAGATTTAAATAAAATTATTAATTATAAATTAATTATTATATAGCTCTATAATTAGTAACTTTTTACTATTTATAAATACTATAAGAAAGAAATTGGTTTATTTATTAGATATATTATTATAAAAAATATATTCTTTAATAGC